GCTGCCCCTCTGTCCCCACTCTGTGTGGTGGGCTGCACTCTTGACCTCCCCCCTCCACCACTGCAGCCTCTGCTTACAGTTGCCACGCAATTAGCCACTTCCAATTGTTGCTCACCAGGCTATTCAGCAGCACATTTTTGTAGAGGCTGCATTGGGTAGGAAACAACAGCAGGGGCAGCAGCAGCAGAACAGCAGCTCAGGGAAGCAGCCAGGTTGGAAGCTGGTTTCCCATTACTAATTGGTTACCAAGCCCTATCATCACCTATTTGGCTCTGTTGAGGCTTCAGTTGGAGAGAGTCAAGGAGAACTATAAAAAGAATTCCGAGTCTAGAAAAAAGTACAGATGAGGAAAGGTTGGAAGAACTGAGTTTATTTAAGTCAAGAGAAGGCTGAAAGGGAGAGGAATTTTATAACACTTCAAATACAAAAAGAGGTCTTGTATAAAGGAAGATGACCAATTAATTTCTGTGTACACAGAGGCTAGGACAAGAAGTTATGGGCTTAGATTGCCAAATCACACTTCTTTTCCCTATTTCTTTTTCTGATTCCAGGAACCCTGTGTTCTTCTCTGCACAGTAGCCTAGCCTTAGCATGAGAGTGGACATTGGGGGGTGGGAGCGTTAAGGCATCTCCTGGGAGATGAAAGACCTGGCTTTTAACCCACTAAGGCTGAGAAGGGACAAGAACCCAAGTCTTCCACTTTCTGGATGAGTGCTCCAGGCACTAGACTACTCTATAAAAGGTGATTGATTACTACTACTGTTTTTTCATAGAAACGGCTGTGGGCATTGTGCTCTGTGCTGAACTCACTGGTGTCAGTGTTTGGTAGGTATGCACTGGTTTACTGGACTGGAACTGTAAGAAGAGATCAGTACAGGGACACCAAGTGTATTAACTCCAAATGGCCTTAGTCAGGCCTAAATGCTCAGGCTAGCCGAGAAAGTACAGTAACAGCTGTTTAGACACCTCAGTAATTTTAGTGCTGAAAGCTTAAGCTTCTATAAACTCTCAAGTACCTACATAATTACGCTGGGATTTTTTTTGATTGCTTACATTCACTTGCATGTCTAAATGTTGTTTAATCCACACTATAGGCACCACAGTCCTCTTCTGAATTGGTCCCCTAGCATAACAGGGCCTGATTTTCATTTACATTAAGCTCTTCTGCACAACTGTGTCAGAGCAAAGAGCTTTAAATTATGTACAGATTATACTGATGCCCCCACACTGTGTGCAAATCCCTCACAGTGCCCCAGTAATGTAAAAGAACCTTAATGTAAATGACAACCAAAGCCTAACATTTCAAACAGAAATTTAAATTGAACATGTTCTCTACAACAGAGCAGACTGGCCACTGCTCAGCAAGACAGCTGGAAAATCATGTACATGCAAAATCTGTGGATTCCCTTTTCTGTAAAGGGCATCCCAGCATGTTTAAAGCTGGCATATTGGCTTTCCATTGCTCACATCCTGGCTCTTGGGGGGAAAAAAAGATATGTTGGGAGCAGGTCTATACTACTGCTGCTGGACCAGGTCCTTTGGGACTGCAGGCTTTAGGTTGCTCTTAGCATTCCCTGACTGGCTCCAGAAACTGGGAGCTGTAAACGAGGTATAGTCACCTTTGCTTCCCTATTTGTTCCAACACAACACAAAACTTAAGTCATGTGTGTCAAAGACTCTAGCCCCCAGTGTACTGGCTGGAGGAAGCACTTCTTTTTGGATATGTATCAGCAGGTGTGGCAGGCCCACCACATCTGTTCAAATGAAGAAAACAAAACCAGTTAGCCTGACCGTGAGGCCACACTGGATACAGTCTGGTCTCTAATACTCATATTTGCAATTGTACAGGATAGCTTCTGCCCTATGAGTGGACACAGAGAAAAATGCACACAAGTTATCATTCAGCGGTTCTCAGGAAATGTAACCCAAAGTGAGCTGAAATTCTTCAAAGCCTATGTGATACTCTTTAAAAGTTATGGTGGTAGAGGGACTGTTCTTTTCCTTCTGTGCATGTATTTAGGTTTTTTGAGTTTTTTGCCTGGGTCAAAACAGAGGTTCAACAAGTTGTGATCCTTAAAGATTGGATGGCATTTCACAAAATGGAAGGGTTTTTATACTCAATCTCTTGGCCACCTCAGGTAAATAAATTCTGTCTAGCTAAATATCCACTGGAGTTTCAACAGGAAACTCCTTTTTATTTGCCCCCTAGAAATTTTTGGTGATGTTGGGCCCCCGTTTCTCACCACAATCAAAGCCTTTTAGTTGTATACTATTAATACTCATAAAACAGTCTAGAAAATGCTTAAGGCTCAGGAAATGTCAGCTGTTGTGCTAGTTGTGGTAATCGGTTTCCATCTTTACTTACAATCTTAGTGGTTTCAACCCCCTGAAGTACTTCTATTTTTCCAGTCCTCCACCTTTTATTTTTTCCTCTGCTCTGCTCCCAAACAGGAGTACTTCTGTGGCTGCCCAGAAAAACTCGAAGTTTCCCCACTCTTTCTCCAGCAAGTCTATAGTTGAAAATCAAACAGTAGCTGCTCCTTGGCTTGAGGTCACTGAGGAGAAGTTTCAAACGGCCAACATCCTTCTTCCGTCCCAGAAAAGCTGGAATTGCCATATAGTATCCTTCACCTTGTAATGGAAGAGGACAAGACATCTTCATGTGTATGGGTGCTTTATGAGAAATATTTTTTTTAGTAAACTCAGTGCTAGTTTGCTAAGAAAATAAAGTGGAAGCTTCATTACTTAAATTATTTAAAACAAACCTAGAAAAAGGGAATGATGAATACTGTCTTGCCCTGATGGAGGATTGATTAGATGCATTTTTTCATCTTTAATTGCAGTGGTCCTTTGTACTAGCTTGAAATTTGTTTTCTTATAAATTTCATAGGAAATATATACTCAGTTCAGTGCATACTCTTTCTTGGAATGTCAACCATATAAATCCCTGATTCTTGGCAGAGTAAATTAGTTTGGATGGAGCATCTTGCTGGAGCAACCCAGTTCCTAAACAGGCTTGCTTAACACTAGCTATGGTATTTCTACACAACACTGCTCTTTGCAATGTAGAAACCTAACAGAGTAACTGACAATTCCTTGATCTGAATCCTTGTAATCTATATAGATAAGACAGACAAAAGGTAAAAAAAAGGACTATAGAGTCATAGATGCTAGGGTCGGAAGGGACCTCAACAGTATATCGAGTCCGTCTCCCTGCCTAGGCAGAAAAGAGTGCTGGGGTCAGATGACCCCAGCCAGATATTTCTCCAGCCTTCTCTAAAAGACTCCCAAGGTAGGGGAGAGCACTACCTCCCTTGGAAGCGAATATGGCAAATGGGAAGAATGAATAGTCAGTCAGCAAATGCTGGGTAGTTCCAGGTTTTGGATGACAATTTCAGGTGAGTTCTTGAGGGGAATTAGCTAAACAGAAAGACAAAGGATGCAAAAAAGGACATAAAGGCATTGGAGAAAGAGAGTGAGGATGAAGGAGAAAAATATGAAGTATGATCTGGCATCCCACGATCACCTCTTGGGTAAACTGGTTAACTGCGGCCTCAACCTCACCATGATCTGCTGGCTAGGGAATTGGCTCTGCGGTAGGACCCAGAGGGTGGTGGTCGATGAGAGCCAATCGTCTTGGTGCGCAGTCACCAGCGGAGTCCCTTAAGGCTCTGTCCTAGGGCCTATACTATTTAACATCTTCAGCAATGATGTGGACATTGGAGTCAGAAGCGGACTGGCCAAGTTTGCCAACGACACCAAACTCTGGGGTAAAGCATCCACACCTGAGGACAAGAGGGCGATCCAGGCAGATCTTGACAGGCTCAAGAAATGGGCAGACAAGAACCTGATGGTGTTCAACACCGAAAAATGCAAGGTTCTCCACCTTGGGAGGAAAAACCTGCAGCATGCTTATAGGCTCGGCAGTGCTACGCTAGTTAGCACTACAGATGAAAGGGACTTGGGGGTCATGACTGACCACAAGATGAACATGAGCCTGCAATGTGATGCTGTGGCTAGTAAAGTGACCAAAACACTGGCTTGCATCCATAGATGCTTCTCAAGCAAATCCCGGGACGTCATTCTCCCCTTGTACTCGGCCTTGGTGAGGCCACAGCTGAAGTACTGTGTCCAGGTTTGGGCTCCACAATTCAAAAAGGATGTGG